AAAAAAAAAAATACTACTAATGCCCAATTTTATTAAGAATTGTTCTTTCTATATATAAAATCTGCTTACTTAGAACTCTATGGTATGATTGATGTATATAGGACAGTCATTTCATTTGAGATAAAGTTTGTTGTTTATAAATTGTTTTATTATGTGCTTTTCTTTCTCTTTAGGATCTCAAACTTCTGAGCAAGAACTCTTTCTAGACACCAAGATATTTGAAAAAGGTTTGTGGTTGTAAATATTATTTTGTTTCTTTTTTTTTTTTTTTTTTTGGCCGGGGCTGGGTTTGAAGCTGGCGCCCTACCCCTTTGAGCCATAGGCGCCGCCCCTATTATTTTGTTTCTTAGAAATAACTACCATCAGGCAGCACTTGTGGCTCAAGGAGTAGGGTGCCAACCCCATATACTAGGGGTGGCAGGTTCAAGCCCGGCTGCCAAAACTGCAGGAAAAAAGAAGAAAAAGAAAGAAAAAAAAGGAAATAACTACCCTCTCTCAGTAAAAGAAACCTATAAGGTATTGGTGCCCTTGAATTTAATATTGATAATTTTAGCTATTTATAAGAGGTGTCAAATATCTGTGATGTATGCTGATTTGTGAGAATAATCAGAGCTATCTTTAATATTTTAAGGATTGAGAAAATGCCTTAAAGTGGTTAGCAAGAATACGAGTTCAATTCTGTGAGGACTTAGGAGTAAGTTATTTCATTCTTGAGCGTACCTATGTAATTATCCCGGAACTCTTAAGTTTTTGGTATTCAGAAGTTTAAGAAGGTCTGAGCCTGTCAAGAAACTATCATATTTTGAGGGCTTGTTTGTTACCTGTATATTTCAGACCAAGGAAGTACATACAGTGGTGATCTTGAATCAGAGGCGGTATCAACTCCACACAGCTGGGAGGAAGAGCTGAATCATTATGCCTTAAAGTCAAATACTGTGCAAGAGGCTGATTCAGAATTGAAGCAGTTCTCAAAAGGGGAAACTGAACAGGATTTGGAAGCAGATTTTCCATCAGGTTTGTGCAAAGTATCTGCCTGCCAAGAGTCCTTTGTTTTTCAAGATTGGTACAACTCTGAATTGACATTGTTTAAGCAGTTGTATGTTAGAAATAATAATCTAGGACACACATGGTCTCTGCCTTTGTAGGTGTTAATTAGTCCTATATTCTTTCTTTTTTTTGAGACAGAACCACAGACTGTCACCCTGGTTAGAGTGTGGTGGCATCATAGCTCACAGCAACCTCCAACTCCTGGGCTTAAATGATTCTCTTGCCTCAACCTCCCAATAGCTGGGCTGGGACTACAGACACCCGCCATAATGCCCAGCTTTTTTTTTTTTGGTTGTAGTTGT